CATACAGAACTGGGGTACAGGCCAGATACTCAGGGGCAGTGAGAGGATTTGCCAGAGACAGGGTAGGAAGCACAACAGGAAGATCGACTAAGTACACTGCTGAGGGGAGTAGTGGGCAGGTCAGGAGAGGTCTGCTGGGCCATGTGGGTCACCTCTGGGGCTGGGATCGAACTCATACTGAAGCAGCTGGCTCGCTTGCAGTGCTGTGCTTTAACCTGCTGTGGCACCAGGGAGGGCCCTTACTTTTATATATTTCTAAATCCTGAATTTTGGAAATAACCTTTGCAGAACAAAGGTAAAGGAAATAAATAAAATGGAAGATAAGTTTTGGAATAAATCTCTGAAAGGATCATAGAAAGGGTACACTCGACCATCCTCAATATACCATTATTCTTACCATATATTTTTTGCTGCAGTTTTCACTCTGGCAACATTTATAATTGTTCCCACTGTCCAGTACGAGAAGGACTGCTGCTACTATGAGCATCTGTGCAGGGAGGAGAGAACAAAATCAGGAACAGAATGTTGGGTTCCATTCATGATCAAAACAAGAGCACAGTGATTCAGATCAAAGTTTGTGGGGTCTGGTAGATCAAGTTTGAACCCGTTTTGCCATTCTGTAGCTGTGTGAACTCAAGTCCTTTTCATAGGATGCTGATACTTACCTCATTGGGTGGTAGTGAGGTAATGTGTTTAAAATTTTAAACATAGAACTGAATCATAGTGGGTGACTGACAAAGGTCAACTATTATAATCATAGTCATGAATCATCAAAAGCAAACAGTTAAAGAGTAAATGGAACAAACAGGGAAATACCACCCAGGGTATCAAACCTGCATTTCTTACTGACTCATCTGGAGGACAAAGGAAAATCACTTGCCATATTTAGCCCTTAGCCTACATCTTTCCATTTAGTGCTCTCTAGGAATGTAGGCGGCAGGCTTGGTTAATCTAAAACTACATCCCTTAATTCCAATTAAAGCAAGTTCAATTTTCCTCTTCATTCAGATCATGACAGGCTCAATTTTTCCAGTGTGTTTTGTCTGTACCAACCCAACAAACTGGAGAATACAATGCACCTTACTTCTTTTTCTCAAAGAGGTGTAACTGAAGTACTGAGTGCTCAAATTAGAGTCCTTTCTCAGAGAAGGGAGAATGGGATTGGAACTTGGGATGGGAAGTGTGCACTGGACTGTGGTGATGGCACACAGGTGAATTGGTGTTGGGAAGCCCATGGGGATTACAACTGATATTTAAAAATGCACAAAATGAAGAATGATGTAAAAAAAATTAAAAAATTAAAAAATTAAAAAAAAAAACCTTCTCAGAAAGGGCTCAAGTTCCCAAATATAGATTTTTTTTTTTTTTTTTACTATCCAGTTTCTGCTTTGGGCATATATGGACTGTGAATTACTTCTGGGAAATTCTCTACCTCGCTTTTACTCCCACGATTTCTGCTGAATCTTAAGCTGAGACCATGCTTATTTTACTGTTTTTGGTCACTATTTCCAGTTTCTAAATTCTTTCAGACTTTACTTAACTATTCATTTAATTATTTATAAATATTTCTCTCCTATCTTTTTAAAGATTCAATATAATAAGTATTTTTGTCTCATAGACAATGAAATGCAGAGAACAGCTTCTTTTTCCAGTATTAAATTTAAATAATGGAATATTTAGCAAGAGCCCTATATTCCTTTTTTTAAAACACCATTCATGATCACAGACTTCACTAATTTCTGGTTTAACTGTATCAGTGCGTTGCAACTCTTCCATTTATTGCATGTTGAGGGAAACGATGACAAGATAAGGTATAGTAAACCAAATACAGTAGTCTACTTCATTATAATACTGGTAGAAAGAATTGGGCTGGGACACTCGAGTCCTATCTAAAAAGGGAAAACTGCAATACTGAGTGCTCCAGAATGGAAGAAAATTGCCCAAAATTCTACCACTGCTGTGATTTTTACATATATATTCCCAAATATGTAAAATTTACATAGTTGCAGTCACAGTTTAGTCACAATTTTATCTTTTTTCTGCACTTAATACAAAGTTATTTGTATTTTCCATGTTGTTACATCTTCATATTTAAAATGTTTATTACCATATAAAATATATCACTTGGTCAGGTCTATGTTAGGATACTTCTAATTTGTTATTATGAATACAGCTGTCATAAACATCCATGCATATCTCTGTCCTTTGTTTTATATTTTCAGAATGAATTCTCAGATTTGAGATTTCATGGATCTTAAATATCATAACAAAATCTTCACAGAATTTTTATGTATGCATAATGCCACTACCACTTTCACTATGTACCTATCATGTAGTGACTTCAAGAGCATTGAGTATTAGTGTTTTAAAGTTACCAATGTGAAAACAATAAAATGAAAGCTTTTGCAATATAGTTATTCTATATTCAATATATATTCAATATAACAATATCCACAAAAATAAATATTACTTTTTTATATTTTTATATTACTCATTTATATTTATATTTTATCATATTTTATATTTATTTATATTATTTTATCTTATTGGTAGTATAAGGAGCAGGCAGTTAACAATGCATTGTTTTAGAAATAACAGAATCAGGAAAAGTGTTTCCTCTGTGTTGCCTTCATAAAAGCAAACTCTCAGCTTATTTTTAAAGGTACAAAGTCAGCAGAAAAACATTCATGGTTTTTACTGTGATTATTTGATATTGTTTTCAAAATCACTATTATTAGGAGTATAATATCAAAGGATTTAGCCATGCCAGGGCCCATCCTTTAACAACTGGCACTGGCTACCTACTACATGTCAGGCTCTGTCCTGGATACTTCATATATGAGATTTGATTTAATCCCCAAAATTAACCTGAAAATTATTTTCCAAATGAGGACACTGGGGATCAAAGACCTCAAACAACAACTTGTTCAAGATCTCATGAAACAAATGACATGTCTGAAATCAATTTTATCGAAGTATCTATTTTTCATATTCTGTCTTAATACCTCTCCAAGCTAGAGAAATTATAAGTGGAATCAGAAAATCTTTTCTGGAAAAGAGCAATGCCACTGGGTTTAGCTTCAACTAGCTCTTAAGTTTCACGAGAACATATATTTCTATGTGAGTGTTGCTCAAACTTTCATTAGGACTGATTTCCTGCATTGGGAGTCTACATAAACAACTTCCTGAAAACAAAGCTACTTCCCAAGTCTTAAGGGCCTAGTGGAACCGCAAACCCAATCTGTATTTTTAAGTCCCAGACCCAAGATTAGTAGAATATTTTTTTTCATAATTCATTGTTTTACTAGGAGAAAGGTTATGCTTAGTAAAATCTCCCAATTCAAACTTACCATGACACCTGAGAAACAGATTCCTTCAAAATACCACACATAGTTGGTGAGTTTATTGCTGGATGCATAGGAAGTTTGTCCATTTGGGAAATACAATAATATATTCACAATGATACTCCAAAGTGCCAGGGGAATCAGTAGCCCACTTAGGCAGCCTCCGCATTGTCGAGCCCCCATTTCACCCTGTTCGGCAACTGCAGGAAATTTCAAGAGTGCAGAATTACATGAGGTCTGTTTATCTTGCTACCTGTCCTTGTTCTTTCTTCTTTTTGGACATCACTTACCTCTTTTTACATCGGAGTCTTTCACTTCATATTCATGAGGAGCTAGGACCTGGACGTTAACTGCAGTTCACAATCTCTGTGAAGAGTGCTTTACTGTTTGGAGAACAATAGACAATGATTCGGTAGCTGAAGAGCTGAGCTGGTCTTCATCCCGTGCCAGAGGAATGTGGTGTTTTCACTGTTTTTAAAATAAGTCATTTTCCTCTGGATTAAAGCCCTGGAGACTTAACCCTGAGCATGTTTTAAGAAGAAAACTGGTATAGGAAATGTGACTGACAGATTTCATCTAATGGTAAATAGGGCATTCAGAAAGAACATTACCAAAGGAATGTATCATAGGTGATGGTGTGCTTTTTCAAATAATCCTGACTTATATCTGTCTTTTCAATTTTTTTATTGTTTTCTCACTTTTTTCTAAGCACTGTTCAAATTGCTGGAAATACAGAAAGGACTAAAACAGAGATAAACTGATGGGTCAGAAAATAAGACATTGGTGAGTTTATTGTTATAAGAACACTGCAACTTTTGTTTGAAGAGTTCATATCTATTATCTTTTCTTTTGAAAAGAAACAACAGCAATGGGAATAAATTTATATCTTAATGCTAAGAAGAAGCTGATAAGAGAAGTTGGTAATTTATTAAGGTTTAATAAGTAAAAAGTATCAAAGGATTTAAGAATTCTCCCTTCCAAACTGTTGCTGTAAATTTAAAGAGCCACAGATTCCCGCTAATTATAAAGACTGAGAATAGGATTATGAGAAAACATTAATATGTTAAAGATCTAATGTAGGTAGTGGTGGACATAATTCGTAGAGTGCTTGGGCTCATTGCCATCATTTTTTACTGGTTACCTCAGAACTTGCTTGACTTAACTTTCTGAAATCTCAATTTCTTCAGCTGTGAAATGAAAACATAAAAATAGTACCTTCCCCAGAAGGAAAACATGAATGTTGAATGAGATTATGTTTGCAATGGTGAATCCAGTGCAAATAGAAGTAGGTAATAAACAGGAGTTATTACATATAAAAAGCAGTTCTAGGAACATAAGTGTCAAATAATACAGATAATAAAAGTTAAGTCCTCTTATTTATACTTTCAGTACCCAAAGAGTCCTGTATCACACTCTTAAAATCGTGATCCCAGTGTATTTATGTTATTTAATTTCAGGAACTATTAATACACTGTAACTTGTATACTTTTAATTCAAGGGAATAAAAATGTATTTTATATAAATAATTTTAATTGTGTTATGCCATATTTATTTATTTATTTATTTATTTATTTTTGCTGTTATGGGGCTTGTACTATGATGGGATTCAAAGAGATTTTTTGGCATCATCCAGAGGATTAGTTTTTCCTCTCTTGTATCTTTGATCAAAGTATACCAAAAAAACTGGGCATGTCTTTTTTTCAGGATGTAGAAGCAATATAAATTCCCATTTACTAATGATTTTGTGATGATGGATAGGAAATAAAAGCAATAACATTTTTGTTGACTCTTTATGAACAACTTCTATGTATCAGGTGCTGTATTTTAAGAACTGGGGGAGAGGAAGGAACAAGATAGTACACAATCACTGCCCTCATGGAGGTTCTAAGAAAGACTATTAAACATATAGCTGGTCAGATAGTGTTGACTGTGGATATGGTAAGTTATGAAAAGGGAACTAGGACTGGTGGAGAATGAGGGTGGGATGTCTTTTAAACAGGGGGATCAGAGAAAACCTTACTGAGAAGAGCCAAGATCTGAAAGGATTGGAGGATGTAAGTTATGGGGAGAACTTGGAGAAAGCCTTATAGACAGGGAGAACAGCAGGTGTGCAGAAGCCTTGAGAGAGATGTGAACAGTGGTGGGGAGACCACTGTGACTGGAGCCAAGAGAGAGAGGAAAGAGAAATGCTATCTCAGAATAGTTTGAGTAGGAAAATGACTTACTATGTTAAAAAGCTCATCTGAACTGCTCTGCTGAAAATATGTTGTAAAGGGTAAGGGTGGAGGAAACTAAAGGAGTCCTGAGGTCATTTCAATAATCCATATAAGGAAGACCATAATAGTAGTAGCATAAAGTAGTATGCATAAAGGTTTGTTTATTTATGCATAAAAGAACTGTGGTACAGGCCAGAGGTACAGGGGATGAGAAGATTCAACAGAGACAGAGTGGGGAACAGAACAGACTGACTGACTGAAATATACTGCTGAGAGGAGCAGCAGATGAGATAGAAGAGGTTTGCTGAGCCATGTGTGTCACCTCCCTGATCAGGGATAGGACTCTGTGCTGCAGTGGTTGTGGACTGCTTCATAGTGTTGTCCTTTAACCCCTGTGCCACCAGGGAGGGCCTAGGTTTCTATATAATTTAAAGAAAGAACAAAGAATGCAGGGAGAAAGAGAGGGAGAGGAGGAAGTTGGGGAAGAGACTAAGAGAGAGAGATAGAGAGGCAGAGAGAGACATAGAGAGAAAGAGAGAAAATATATCTATATATACATCTAGCATTGGCCTAATATCCAAGATCTATAAAGATCTTGAATAACTCAATAAGAAGATAACAAAGAACACAATTTAAAAAATGGGCACAGGAGATAAACGGACACTGTCCAAAGAAGATATACAAATGGTCTAAAGGCAAATGAAAAATAATTCAACATCATCTAATATAGGGAAATGCAAATCAAAACCACAATGAGATACCACCTCATTCCAGTGACAATGGTCCCTGTATTAAAAAATAACCCCAAAGAATAAAAGTTGTCAAGGGTGTGGAGGAAGAGGAATCCTCATACACTGTTGGTGGGAATGCAGACTTGCCAAGCCCTTTTTGAAAACAGTATGAAGATTTCTCAAAATATTAAAAATAAATATACCCTGTGACTCAGTAATTCTCTTTGGCCTTTATCCAAAAATGCAAACACTAGTTCAAAGGGATATGTATCTTTTTTTTTTAAAGATTTATTTATTTATTCATATAGAACTGGGGTACAGGCCAGAGATGCGGAGGGTGAGAGGATTCACCAGAGACAGAGTGGGGAGCAGAATAGGCAGATCGACGAAGTACACTGCTGAGGGGAGCAGCGGGCGGGTCAGGAGAGGTCTGCCACGCCATGTGGTCTCCTCCGGGGCAGGCGGGAATCGAACTCATGCGGAAGTGGCTTTAGCTTCTCAGTGCTGTGCTTTAACCTGCTGCGCCACCAGGGAGGGCCAGGGGATATGTAACTTTTTATGTTCACTGCAGCACTAGTTGCAATAGCCAAGACATGAGAACAACCTAAGTGCCCAAGGACATGAGTAGGTTAAGATGTAGCATATCTACATTATAGAGTACTATTCAGTTTTATAAAAAAAAGATGAACTCTTGCCATTTGTGATTACATGCATGGAACTGGAAGAAATTTTGATGTGAGGGGTCCAATGTTATATCATAAAAGGAGGTAAGTACGTTAGCATAGGTGTGGTGTGCTGACACATGTTGGGGGGGTGGATCTATTCTGAGTCAAGACACTGATGTGAATCAATGTTACCTCAAAGAGATAAATGAAAATAAAAAAAATCATTGCTTTGGGGTAACAGAAAAACAGTTGGAAAGGGATGTAGCGATTATGAAGTGATATATTAGAATTTGAAATTCAGGTGTTACAGGAATTGACATAAGATAAAGTCCAGAGCTGTGCTCTGGCTGAATTGTGTCACCTCATATGTTGAGCCCTTAATCCCTAGGCTCTCAGATTGTAACTATATTTGCAATAGAACCTTTATAGAGATGATTAAGTTGAAAGGAAGCTGATAGTGCAGACCTTAATCTAGTCTGTGTGTTATCTCTACAAGAAGGATATTTCAGTGCACAAAGAGATGTAGTGGGTTCCTGGACACAGAAGAAAGACCCAAGCACACAGTAACGAAACGGTGGATGCCAGCCAAGGAACGAGATCTCAGAAGAAACCAAACCTGGAAACATCTTGATATTGGAATGTAAGCTCCCATAATTCTGAAAAAATAATTTTCTGTTATTTAAACCATCTACTCTGGGGTATTTTTTAAAATGTTAACCCTCACATGGTGTGGCTATGGGAGTGAGTAACCAAGGCAAAGTGAAAGGGAAGAAGATTAGAAGGAAGGAATTGAGAAACCCAGATATTAAAGTGATCACTTACAATATATATTAACATCAACACAGAATGGTGGGAGTTTTAAAGAAAATGACTCATTTAGGAACCAGTTGCTAAACCTTCTCAACAAGATAATCTGGAGATGGACTGAATTGAAGGCAGGAGAAGATACAGTATTATGTGGCAATGAAATTTATGATATCTTAACTCAAAAGTCATCTACCATTTTTCCCCACTAATTTTTAAAGAGGTGTTAAAAATAAAAAAAAAATGTTTGATATTGTCTGCAGTTTTTCTCACACTGAAACTTCCT